TCTGCCCCTCCCCTGTTCATGCTCTGTCTCTCTCTGTCTCAAAAATAAATAAACGTTAAAAAAAAATTTTTTTTAATAAAAAATTTTTTTTTAGTTTATTTATTTTGAGAGAGTGAGAATGAGTGGGGGAGGGCCTGAGGAGGGGGGGGAGAAACAGAATCCCAAGCAGGCTCTGCACTGTCAGCGCAGAGCCCAACGCGGGGCTCAATCTCACAAACCGCGATGCGAGATCATGACCTGAGTCGAAATCAAGAGTCAGACGCTCAACCGACGGAGCCACCCAGGTGCCCCGAACACATACTGCTTTTATACAGTTACTTACTTACCACTTTCAAAAAAAGCAATAATAGGGGAAATGCGTGTCTTGGCCTGTTTGGGCTGCCATAACAAAATGCCACAGATTGGGTGGCTTAAAAACAACAGGAGTTTATTTGTCACACTTGTGGAGGCTGGAGTTGAAGGCTAGGGTGCCAGCCCAGTCAGGTTCTGATGAGAGCCCTCTTCTGGCTGCAGACTGCCACCTTCTTGCTGTCTTCACATGGTGAAAGGACTGAAGGAGCTGTCTTGGGACGTATCTCTTAAGGGCCCTATTCATGAAGGCTTTGTCCCCATAACCCAATGACCTCCCAAAGGCCCTGCCTCCTAATACCGTAACCTTGGGGGTTAGTTCCACCATATGAATTTAGAGGGATGCATTCAGACCATAGCAATGTGCTTCCATTCACATATTTCTCTTCTAGACCATTCAGTTCAGCCTTTCCACTCCTCTGCATCAACTCTATTTACAATACGGATGGGGGCCGTATATCCAGGGGGCCAGCCAGGGGCCCTATTCCCCAGAGCATCCTAAGTATGGGCAGTTGCGAGGCCACTGAGACCGGCCCTCTCCACACAAAGTTCCAAAGTTGCCCCAGGACAGCAGGGACGGCAGATTCCAACTCCTAGATGCTCTGTTCCTCCTCAGCCCAAATCCCCTACATCCTGCAGTAAATTGTGGCTCTGGCTTTGTTTTGTGTTCCTGCAGATCACAAAGGCATCAAGGAAAAGGCTCACAGTGAACCTGGCTTCCTCAGAGAGCCACCATATCCGCGTGTCCCAGCAGGACTTCCGACTCTTCCGTACCCTCTTCCTGCTCATGATCTCCTTCTTCATTATGTGGAGCCCCATCATCATCACCATCCTCCTCATCTTGATCCAGAATTTCAAGCAGGACCTGGTCATCTGGCCATCCCTCTTCTTCTGGGTGGTGGCCTTCACGTTTGCCAACTCAGCCCTGAACCCCATTCTCTATAACATGTCACTGTTTAGGAATGAATGGAGGAAAATTTTCCACTGCTTCTTCTACCCAGAAAAGGGAGCCATGTTTACAGATACATCTGTCAGAAGAAATGATCTGTCCGTTATTTCCAACTAATTAAATTTTTCTCTATAGGCAGAGTTTATCACCCTCTGGAAAGCTAGGATACACTTTCAAAGGGAGTTTATTTCCAGGACCATCATATCACTGTAGCCTGCTTTAAGAAAATGTAACCTATGCAAATACACATTTATAGCACCAGTAAATTAAGGGGTGATCATTCAGTATGACAATTTTACCCTTCATAAAAGGATTTGTTATGGGCTCCCTTTAAATATGAACTTTTTCCAGTGTGTTTGTAATATGATTGAGTTTAATAAATTTTTATTTATAGCTGTTCAGCAATCACATCTCTTACATATAAAGCCACACCATGCTGGTTTCTGGAGTGAGTCTTGAAAGTGATCTAATACTCAGGTTTCTCCCTGAAGGTTCACTACCACTGTAGGTCCCCACCCTGGACTTGCGAGGCCTCAAGACTATTCAATAATGTCAACAAAACTTGAGGAATTTCCAAAGAAATTCAAAAAAATTAAAGTGACTTTAGTTTTTCACTTATAAGAAATGCCATGTACCTCTTTAGGGGAAGCCATGTTATGGAATCAGAGAAGAGATAGAATGACTCAAAACATTAAGAGTGAGAGCGTAAGTGATTCCCTCCATGGATCCACCTGTCAGGTGCCTTTTAAGCCCATGGTGTGGCCAGTGTTCTTGGTGCTAGGAACACAGCGGTGAACCAGACAGCTATGGCTCATGCCCTTATGGGGCTTACTTACCTTCTATTTTGGGGGAGAAGCACTAAACAGAAATCAGTAAATAATATAGCATTATAGAGTGGATTCACATCATGAAGAAAATAGGACAGTGATGGGGCACCTGGGTGGCTCAGTCAGTTAAGCGTCCAACATCAGCTCAGGTCATGATCTTACGGTTCATGAGTTTGAGTCCTGTGTCAGGCTCTGTTTTGACAGCTCAGAGCCTGAACCTGCTTCACATTCTGTGTCTCCCTCTCTCTCTGCCCCTTCCCTGCTCATGCTCATGCTCTGTCTCTGTCTCTCTCTCTCAAAAATAAATAAACACGAAAAAAAATTTTAAATAGGACACTGATGGCAATTTGGATGGGATGGGGGGAGGGGTCTAGGAAGACCTTTCTGGGGTTGATATTTGGGCCAAAAGATAAACCACCGGAAAGAGCCAACCATCAGAATCCAGGGGAATAGGGCTTTGCAGACATTGTCAACACTGGTCCTGGTGCAAAGGGGCTGGTATACTTGCGGAACAGAAAGAAGACTGGTGTAGGCAAAGCAAACTATTGACTGATCTTCTTCTGTGTTACACACTGTTGTTGATGCCAGGACAGAGGGGTGCCCTGCTGGAGCCCATTGATTGAAACCAGAGAAGGGACAAGGCTGAACTATATTGGGCCTGGGAGGCCACATAGGGAGTTTATTCTGTGTTCAATGGGCAACCACTGGAGGTTTGCAGTTGGAGACTGATATGACCTAATATCTATTTTTAAATATTACTCTGGCTGATGTGCAAAGGATGGACTTTGAAGAGCAAGAATAAAAATGTGACAAATTAGGTGGCTGCTGAGGTAGAAAAAAAATGGGAAGTCAGAGGTGGGTGGCCTTAGTAGGGGGTTGTGAGATAAGATCTTGGGACTACTTTGGGAAGGCAGAGTAAGCCCGATTTACTGACAGACAGGATGTAGAACATGAGGGAAAGAGAGGATTCGAAGGTGACTCTTGGATGAACAATGATTGGATGAGCCAGCAGGCCAGAAAAATGGGGAAAGACTAGGAGAAGAATGGGGGATGAGAGAGCCAGGAGTTTCATTTGGGGATAAATTTGAGATCCCAATGAGATCCAATGGAAAGTAGGCAGTTGGAGGCAGGGATGGGGAACTTGGGCCCAAAGATACAACATTAGGAGTCATCACATTGTGTTTACAGGTCTCCATTTTTATGAATTATCTCTGCGACAAAGAGGCGGTGGAGGGGGGAGGGGAGAAACAAGAGCCAAAGAGATCCCAGGGATATGCCATCACTTGCAGTCTGGGCAATGGCAGGACCGCACAAGAGCTCGGGTACTGGCACACAGTAGGTGTTCAACAAATCTTTGTTGCAGAGTAAATCAGTGTCATTGGTTGCCATTGCTTACAAAGTTTATTGAGTAACTTGCTTCCGAAGGAAGATTTATGGTGATCACAAGTTTGAGAACAAGAGGACAGGGATCTTTTGTTCATCTTTGGTTGACAGATTTGGTAAATTAAAGCTGTCTTTTGATGTGATGTGTGGCTACGTTATGGGTGTCTGGAATCATCAGACTGAAGATGAAGAGCCCAGTTCTGACACCTGTTGTTCTGTGTGAACGACAGGCAGGGACTACCCCTACGGGGTTACCTGTCATCTGCCTCTTTGATGGGAGAACACACAGTGAAGTGGTGGACCCGGAAGCCCCTTTTGGCTCTGTGATATGCCAGCCCCCAAGCAGAGATCTCTACACATATGTGCCCTTCCCCACCTCCAGACCCAGTTCATGAACACCAGTCTGGCATCATCTCCGGGGCTTGCACAGTTCCTGAGTGGTCTAACTGAACCCTCACTGCACCCTATCAAGCAGATACTATTTCCCCATATTTCACAAGAGAAGAGTGAGGCTCAGAAAAGTCACATAACCAGCTCCAAATCACACAGCTAATACAGATCTAAGCTGGATTTTGACTTAAAACCAAGACTCTGGTACCAAAGCCTTGATGCCTTTTCCAAATAAGAAACTGAAGTTCCTGGGAGCTCCTGGGAAACGAAGGCAAATGGCTCTGAATGAGGTTAGGCATTGTGTTCACAAGTGCTACTAACCGTGTGGGACACTGGTGTTCCATTCCAGCCCCACTATTTCTATCCCAGCTAGCCTCTTTCCGGCACTCCAGTAGGGGGCGCCATGATCTTCCCACAGATCTCTTCCAGGGCCCCCTCTCCTAACTCCCCCAGGGAAGCCCACAGCAACCTGTCCCTCAATATTTTGGCCATGCCTGAAATAAGAACTAAATTAAGCAGCACCTGGGTGACTCAGTCGGTTAAGCATCTGACTTCGCTTCAGGTCACGATCTCGCAGTTTGTGGGTATGAGCCCTGCATCAGGCTCTGTGCTGACAGCTCTGAGCCTGGAGCCTGCTTTGGATTCTGTGTCTCCTCCTCTCTCTGCCCCTTCCCTGCTCGTGCTCTTTCTCTCTCTCAATAATAAGTAAACATTAAAAAAAAATAATAAAAAGAAGTAAATTAAGTGCTAGAAATAATGAAGGGTTGGTGGTGAGCCCACCATCCTACCTACCTCATGAACCTTGGGTACATTGAGGCCTTGGGCTCGCTGGCCTGGCCTACCAACACTCACCTCTTTTGGCCTCAGTGCCTTGGCCAGGCTAGTAGTTAAGGCCTTTCTCACTTAATGGGGAAACCCGTTTTTTTCAGGAAGTCAGGAGAAGCCACAGTCATTAATAATGGAGATTGGGCACTAGAACAGGCCAAAAGTCATGAAGAGCTGGGAGACAAGAGCCCCTCCTGGTATATTAAAGCACACCGTACCCAACCATCTGCAGGACTTCTCACTTTGACACAGACACAACACAAATAAAAACCCAGATCACAGCAAACCGGTGACTATATTTTAATAAATCAAAGTCTGGAATCCTAAGCCTCAAACGATTCCTTAGGACACTCCAGGAAGGCAGACATTCATACGAGTGCAGATTCACTTATCACCGCATATATTTTTATGTGTACTAAGGTTCCATGTTGGCTGAGGGGAGGGGAGCAGAGCAGGGAAACTAAACTCCTAAGGTAAGACAGAGTTGAAGGCTGAGTGAGTTAATGGGAACTTTTCCAATGAAACTCCACGTTGCTACAAAATGTTTTGTTCTGATTTGCCATCACAGTAACCTGAAATACAGAAAACAAAGTCAATGACAGAAAGTTGGACCCAATGTTAAAGGTACATGGGGTATGTCAGGATGGCCTTAGGGCTCAGCTTTATTCAAATGTTTCTTGTAGGGTTACAGCTAGACGTGGCAGTAATTCATCTGTAATTCATTGGCATCCTTAAGGCTTTCTGAAATCCTTTGAATTTCTCCGGGGGCAAGAGAGAGGCGACAGCATAGGAGCTGCTGTTTTAAAGTTTTCCTTTTACGTGCCTTAAATTGCCTCACTGAATCTTTTCTTTAAAAAAATTTTTAGTGGGTTTTTTTGTTTTTTTTTTGAGAGAGAGAGAGAGACAGAGTGCAAGTTAGGGAGGGGCAGAGAGAGAGAGGGAGACACAGAATCTGAAGAAGCTCCAGCCTCCCAGCTGTCAGCACAGGGCTCAACATGGGGCTCAAACTCAACAACCATGAGATCATGACCTGAGCCAAAGTTGAAGGCTTAACTGACTGAGCCACCCAGGTGCCCCGCCTCACTGCATTTCAAAGGATTGGGAGCATATCCTCCTATCTCAGTAAGCGGAGGCCAAATCAGCCTGGCCTCAGTCACTCTGTGGGTGGTTCTATAGAATGTCCACCATGTCCTCTGTCATGTGTCAGCAGGCGGTTCTACAAGGAGGGTCGGGGTCACAGAACAACCATGGTTTGCATCCAACTCAATTACCTGTGGGAGGTTTGGGGCAACGGGTGTAATCTTTCATAGCCTGAGTTTTCTCATCTGTAGAATGTGGATCATGAGAGTATCTACTTCATGAGGTGTCTCTGAGGATTAAGTGACATAATTCAGGGAAAGGGCTTGGTGTGGGGCCTGGCTGTGGTGAGATCCTTTGCGCACCCTCCATTTAGGCTGCCCCCAGGGTAGAGCATCAAAATCTTATTTTTTAATGTGTTTGGTTTAGGTTCATATCTGTTTGGTGTGGCATGGGCCAGCTAGTTAGATGACTGATGGAGGAGTTCAGTTCTGTTCTCTTTTTCTACATGTTAACATTACCCTATTTGGATTTTGAAACTCAGTTTCCCGTGGGAGTGAGTGTCATTTCAAAATAGACTGCACACTTTCCTCCAAAATGTTACTGGTTTTTAAAGCAAGATCAGACAGGGGTAGTGCTCGCTTAGGCAGCACATATGCTAAAAAAAAAAGATCAGATAAGAGTAACATCTATAAAAAGATTCAACGATTGTTCTGGGGAATCTCAAAAAACATAAGTGAGGAAAACCAGCTAGTCAATTTCATGGCACTCTAGTTCCATATGAGAAAAAGAGCATTTGTTGAAATGGTTCTGTTTCAAACTTGCTATGGCGAGGTCTCTCTTTAACTTATAAAAGAATTGTTTTTATTTATTTTTGAGAGAGAGAGAGAGAGAGAGAGAGGCAGAGTGTGAGTGGGGAAGGGACAGAGAAAGAGGGAGACACAGAATCCGAAGCAGGCTCCAGGCTCTGAGCTGTCAGCACAGACCCCGACGCAGGGCTCAAACTCACGAGCCTTGAGATCACGACCTGAGCTGAAGTCGGATGCTTAGCCAACGGAGCCATCCAGGCACCCCTCTCTTTAACTTTGGCAGCAATGGCCATTATTTGCTGCCCGGCTCTTCACTGGGGCTACTGACTCCCTAAACAATGTTAATTTTGTCAAAATGGTTTTTTGGGCAGTGTAGCCACACAGACTAGGCCTAGGGTAGCAGATATAAAGGAAGAGCCTGTCCTCTGCAGTTTGATTTAATTAAAAGTGCCAGGGTTTTGGAAAAGGGCTTTTGCCCATCCCTCCTGAAACAGCCCCATGATAAGGCCAGTGAAAGATCTGGTCAAGAAGGACCAAACTGGGCCCAACAGAGCTCCTGAGACTCCGTTTTCTCTCGCTGGCAGAAGCACCGTATTTCACTGGCCTGTGGCCCAAACTCACTGCCCACTGACCCCTCAGGAGAGTGTGCGGTGCCCTGACCCTCACCCACTCACCGTTGTGAACGATCAGCCTGTACTGCCTGGCCAGGCACAGCTCATCCTGTCTCTGCCGCACGATTTTCTGCACGTCCGGGGGAAGGCCGTTGGGGTCGCGGGCAAACACGAAGGAGTAGCTGTCAGCGCAGGTGCCGTCAAGGTTCAGGAGACGGCAGGAGTACTGCACCGCGTAGGTGTCATAGTCGGTGTCGATGATCCAGTGGTCATCATCTGCAAGCCAGAAAGCCACACTGCCAGTGCCGCTCCCTCAGCCAACTCAGGTGCCAGGGAAACTGACGAGCAGGCTCAAGGAACTGGTGACTTCCTGAAACTGGTTTTATTTCATTAGGAAACAGGAGACTACAGAGAATTCTGATGGCTTTTACAAAGCTGGGAAAATGAGAAAGCCTTTGTTCTCCTTTGCAGAAAAGAACCCTAGAGTTGAGGGCGTGGGGGGCCGCGTTCACTTCAACGATTATCTCCCACCCTGACAATAAATGTGATTGTATCTATCCAAAGAACCACAGAGAATGTGGGCCCATCGAAAACCACAAAATAGACCTTTCTACTGGTGTCTTCTCCATCCATTTTCTAACAATGTCTGTGCCTTTGTGGCTGATGTCTTCTCGCTGCCCTGCTGCCCCCCGATCCACTGGAGGATGCCATTCTGATGATCCCCTTCACGGCTTTTCTGCTTCACCCTAATTCTGGCTTAGAAACCTGACATGCTTCTTCATGCTGGCAAAAGAGAGTAATTTTTGTGTTGAGGACACAAGGTGCCCACCCTCTGACATCACATATTCATTCTTAGAAGCTTGTATTTTTCAGATCTCCCCTGACAGAGGCAGAGCTGAGCCCTTCAAGAATTTAGATTTTGTTTAGCCCTAAGGCTGGGAGGTAATAAGCCATGAAGAAGTGTACACAAAGTGGTATAAATGTCAACAAAGGCAGGATAAGAAATAACATTAATAAGAATGTATGTTTGAGAGATTTGGACTGGGGAAACAACAATGAATATTGAGGTTTACCTGAATACCTTATATTTGGTAAAAAGTGCCACATCTCCAGGGTGCCTGGGTGGCTCAGTTGGTTAAGCATCCAACTCTTGATTTCAGTTCAGATCATGATCTCACAGTTCATGGGATCAAGCCCTGTGCTGGGCTCCATGCTGACAGCTCAGAGCCTGCTTGGGATTCTGTCTCTCCCTCTCTCTGCCTCTCCTGTGTGCACGGGCATGCTCTCTCTCTCTCAAGATACCTAAATAAACTTTTTAAAAAGGAACAAAATTTTAAAAACTTTTTTAAAAAGTGCCACATCTCTACTTAATTTAACATTCTCATTAACATGTAGCCATGGCTAGGACTTTCTGAGCAATTAATTATGCATCAGTCACTGTGTAAACAACTATTCCTCCCGTCTACCCAAAAGTCCACACTGTTATTCCTATTTTACAGATGAGGAAACTGAGGTACAGAGAAACTAAATAATTTACCCAAGATCACAAAGAGCAGGACAGAGCTGGAGCCCACAGGCCTAACATCTACACCACATTAATTCCAGGCAGTAGGTAACTTGGGGAAAGAGGGGACAAGAAACAAGAAACAAAAAGCCTCTGTGTCTCCACCTCCTTCCTGCCCAAGCCGTGAAGCAGGTGATGGTCCCTGTTCTATGTTGGTTCCATATGAGAGGAATGCAGAGGAACCTGGGTCCCCCGGCCTCAGAAAGCATAGGGGGACCTCTACTACCCACCTAAGCCACCTCAGGGTGTGCCTCTCGGCTCGGAGAACCCTGAGAGTGCCAGCTGAAGAGGGCTTCAGTGTGAATCCAGACCCACAGGACAGTGTGAATCCAGACCTGCAGGACAGCTTCAGTGTGAATCCAGACCCACAGTTCAGCTCACTCCAGGCTCTCCAGGAGGAACAGTGAGCCACTGCTGTACCTCCAGACTTTCCCACGGGACAGGGTCCGAGGCCACAGCTGAGGGTGCCCAGACACAGGAGCTGGGCCGGGAACAGAAGCCATGGGGCCGCCTGCTGGGCCTCACCCTGACCAGGGCCTTCCCTCACTGGCTCCCCAGCCTCTGGGCAAAGTCTTCTTCCTCTGCAAATGAAGTCATTTCTTCCCTGGTGATGGGGCTCAGTGTGTCTGTCAGAGGTGCCCCAGCGGCCAACCCCTCAGACACAAATGTGCTCTCCTTTGAAATGCTGCCCCAATTCGAGATCGAGGCAGCTGTCAGCTCAGCAAATCTGCAGCTTAATTTTGTTTTTCCAAGATTGTTGCCAGAATGTGAATTCTGACTTAAGAACTAAATAGTTTTCAATGCTTGGTTTTAAGAAAATTGACTACTGTTCTTGACTTTTTTTTTTAAAAAAAGGCCTAAGTTGGTTTGGTTTATCTCCAGGTTCTTTTTGGCTAAATAGTTCAAAGAAGAAGAATTTAAATCCTAACAATCCTTGCCAGATTCTCCCTCCTAAGGCAAGAGATGAACTGCCTGAGCGCCACTTGAAAGAATAAACTTGGTCCTCCAGCCTCCGCCCTCCCAGCAGCTGGGGGTGGGTCACCCTGTAGAGCCAGAATCCCCCAGACATTTCTGGATAGTAGCTGTCTGCATGCAACAGAGCTGGGGAGGGAGAGTGATCAAGGCAGCGGCCATATGGCCAGGAGCCCCCACAGCTGCCTCTATACTGTACCCACATGGACGGGTTTAGAGGTTTTAACTAAATGCCAGTCCAAAAAACAAAGAAAACACTCAGTAGACGGAGCTGTCTCGGTGACCTGGTTCCCTTGCAGATCTGTTGCTCAGTGCAGTGAGCCAGGAACAGGTCCCTTCAGCATCCTACACCTGTGTCCTCCCATCATCGAAAGTGAACACACAGGTGAAAAGCTCCCTCCAGTTCTCGGTCTAATAGTCCAGTAGAGCCGGATGGTGGGTGTGATGCTATTTCTAATTGCCCCCCCACCCCCCACCAAAGTCCAGCAGGCCCTGACAAAGTGAATGGAGTCTGAGACCTTGAAACCTGAGTAAGCAAAGATAATCTTTGGATTGAATTATCTAGAGCAGTTTCTCAAACTTCACTGTGCAGAAGGAGCATACCTAAGGACCATACCAAAACTGCCAACTCTGGGGCCCGACCCCAAGAGTTTCTGATTCAGAAAGTCTGGGTTTGAGCTCACAAGTCTGCACTTTTAACAAGCACCCAGCTGATCCAGACGTAGGTAGTCTGGGGACCCAGGTTTCAAGAACTGATGTACATAACATTGCTATGTAGCCTGCACAGGCTCCTTTACCAGCAGAGTGACAGACTTTATCTGGAAGACAGACAAAGGAGAGTCTTTGTCCAGGTCTTTCAGGAATGGTCCGAAACAATAATGACCAAAGCTGATATTTTCTGAGCACTCATTATGCATCAGGTTAAGCATTTTTCATGCATTACCTTAATTTGTCCTTCCAACAATCTTATGAAATAGGAACTATTCTTTATCCCCATTTCTGTTAAGGAAATCAAAGTTCAGAGAGGCTAGTCAATGGTAAAGCCTACATTCCACCGAGATCGGCTGATGATGGCATTCCTTAACCCCTGAGACGTCCTGTTTGCTGCTGGCAGAGCTGGGGCAGAAGGAGGCCAGGATAGAGCACGCCCAAGGCTGGGGCAGCAAGCCGTGTTAGAGTCTGCTGACACTGACACTTAATATTCAACTTGAGAGATTTACTGCATTTATTTTTAAAATAACATGACAACAAATTTAGCGAGCCTTTGTTCCTGAGCTATTTTCTCTGCATAAGTGTACCTCGTTTTAAACACATCTGTTTGGTGAAATGCAGCATGTGAAGAGGGGGAGAGACTAAGAACGCAGGTCACTCTCTGAGGCTTCAGACCCTCCTGACCAAGTCAGGGTTTAATACCAGACCAAGATCAAGGAAGAAAGAAATTGGCACAAGGAGAGATGGTAGAGTTTGTAAAAGCCCCCCCACCTCCCCAGGCCCCAAAGCATGGAAGGTAGAAACAGGAAGGTAGAAACAACAAATCATACGGTCTGTGGGACACTTAGAAAACACTGGGGCAGCTCATGCCCTGAGCAAAGAGGTATCACTAAGTGCCACTAAGTAGCCACGTGGCCCTGGGCTAGTCACTTCTCTAAAAGATACCTCAGTTTCTTCACTTGTAAAATGAGAGGCTTGAACTGATGGTCTCTGTGGGACCTCCCATCCCGTGCCCAGAAGATGAAATATAACTCATGCCTGGGGAGAAAACGAAGCACTAATAATCTACACTTGCAGAGAACACACATCTCAGGCATTTTTCTAACTTTCTGCAGGTCAACTCACTGCATCCACAGAAGACAACTCCATGAGGCAAGGGCTATGATCACCTCCTTTTGTAGAGGAGGAAACTGAGGCACTGACAAGATAAGGAACACACTTGAGTTCCCACAGGTAGTGGGTCGAGTTAGGATTTGAACTCAGGCAGTCTAACTTTTAAACCCTGCAGGCTCGGGGCGTCTGGGTGGCTCAGTCGGTTAAGCGTCCGACTTCAGCTCAGGTCATGATCTCACGGTCTGTGAGTTCGAGCCCCACGTCGGGCTCTGGGCTGATGGCTCAGAGCCTGGAGCCTGCTTCCCTCCCTCTTCTGTGTCTCCCTCTCTCTCTGCCCCTCCCCTGTTCATGCTCTGTCTCTCTGTCTCAAAAATAAATACACGTTAAAAAAAAAAAATTTAAACCCTGCATGCTTGACCACTATCCAGCACTGCTTCTTTCCTGAAAGGGAATCTCATAAGGAACTGAATTCCGAGCCTTCCATATTGTAGTCATCTCACTGAATATCTATAGCCATCGCTTTAAAGATTTTAAGTTTTTTTTGTTTTTGTGTTTTTGCCTCCAGATGAAATCCTAGGTAGAATCTCAACCTACCAGAGGTAAAAGCAAGACTAATCTGGTTTGGTAGCAAAGGAGGGGGTAGGACACAAGAGGCAACACCTCCTCATCGGATTCTCTCCCACTCTTCCCAAATGCACTACCAGCAGAATCCTAGTTCTTTCCAGAGTGGATCTCAAAATGCAACAGAGCATTATGTGTTCACGTTTACTAAAAATTAGTAATCTTGTACCCCCAGTATTGATTTTTGTAATTCATTACCAGAAACGCATATCTTTCACACTAAATGAATCACTCTAGAAAGTTTTGCTGCATTATTTAAAATACTTTTTTACTACTTACCTGGGAGTTGGAATCCCTGGCTTTTGACACTGGCTCCCACAAACTTGTATGACCGTGGGCAAATCAATACTTTCTCTTGGTCTCAGTTTATTCATCTGTATATTGAACCCCCTTTGTAGGGGTAACTCCCTAAGATCCCATGATATGTCCCCCTTGGCCTGCATTATTTCCTGGGTACCAAATGGCTTCCAGATGTGAAATTTAAGAGAAATGGAAAGAAAGTCAAAAAGGCAGGTAAATGTTGTGTTCTTATGATCAGCCTAGATTTTAGGATGTTTTTCTGAGTCTTCAACACCCTGTCTGTCCCCCATCTGAGTTTTGGTGCTTGGGAGAAAGCAGAGAGATCAGTGCCACCCAGAACACTGTGCCTGGCTCAGAATCTCAGCATCTGCAGGCAGGGCACCCTGGAGTCAGCCAACCCTATGCACAGTGCTCCCCACATCCTTGGATAAAGGTCTCCCAGCCTCTGCTGGGGCCCCAAGTAATCAAGCTGTCTCAGGGATTCAGCCCAATGAAATGGAGGAAATACAAAACCAGGGTGAATGGTGAGGTGGGATGGGTCTTGGGGAGGTGGGAAGTCTGAGCATGGAGAAGGCTACACACCTTGGCACAGTGGCTGGATAGGAAAATGGCAGAAGGAGGTCACCTAACAAGCCCAAAGTCCTTTTGAGCTTGGGCCAGGTTTTCTAAGCTGGAGGTAGGGAAAGTGGGCAGGGAGGGGGCCTGGTCAGTCCCAATCTCACCTCCCCAACCTCAGGCCCTGCTCAGGGTTCCTGCCACTTACAGACCATTCTTTCCAAGGGTGCGGCCGAAGAAGAAACTCGGCTATCTGGCCAGGTATGACCCCCCATCCCCTGAGATGGTCCTACTGAACTGACTACTCACTTCCTTTCTGGAGAAAGGACGCTACGCCCCAATACTTCATCTTGAACTTAGCAGAGTCCTCAGTGTCTGTGAAGGTGCCCACCATGTCTGCGCACACGTCCCAATTACTGCAAAAGCCAAAGAGATCCTGAGCCAGGCCAACAAAGGGCTTCCTCCCACCATCCCACC